CGAATAGTGCGAGATTCAGATTCTACGTTTTAATATATTTTTAATAAACGATGCAATAATTTCACAAGACTTGTGGAGCCGGCCGGAATATTCCCCACGGAGCAGTTGACGTGTCGGCCAGCGATGAGAATCCAGCTCATAATCACCGGCGAGTGACGTCATCTTAGGCGCATTTTAGAGAAAGAAGCGCACGGTAAAGTCAACTTTTTTGGGTTAGAGGAAAAGACTTTTACTTTTTCTTCTCTCTCGATTTGTTTTTCTTCCGGCGCTTTTGTCGTTCATCGTCCGTTGCTTCAACTTGCTTATTAGTATTATTCTACAACACTTATCATCCTCATGGACAAATCAAACCAAAGAGATAAAAAGCCAACAAATTTATTATATAAAACAAAAAAAAAAGAGAGAAAAAATATCTTCTTCTTTTTCCCAATCATGTGTAGTACTACTCTTCACCTCTAAGTTTTGACCAAAGCTTCGTCATTTCGTGATGAGTTTCTCTGCTTATCAATGGAGGTTTGTTTGTTTCTGATTTGCTTTGAAAAAACTTTCTATTTTCATGGATATTGCTCTATTTGGGTATTTTTGTTTCCTTTTAAAGGCTCAACTTTTTCGTCTAATTTATTCTTAAAGTTTCAACCTTTATAGCTAAAACTACATGAGAGAAACTGATCAAGCAACTGATTGGATCTTTATCTATTTTCTGCTTTGTTGTTGTGCCTTGAGAGAGAGAAATTCTTTAAAAGCTTGAGTCTTTAACTATTGATTTACAGATGATGAACTCTTTTGCTTCTACACAAGTCGTATCATATAGAGACATGGGGATGTATGAACCATTCCAACAGTTATCTGGTTGGGAAAATGCTTTCAGTAGTAATCAGAATAACAATCAGAGTTCTTCCACAATTCTTGAGGTTGATGCTAGACCAGAAGCTTCTGCAGATGATATCAATAAGGTTAGATTATATTCCCTTTTTTCCAGATTGTTGTGTAAGACAGATTTTTTTAAGTGGTACTTGTTTGTTTGATAGTGGTGGAATTATATGTAGGCAAATTATACTTCTTTGTATAACTCTGGTGAAGCAGAACCTTCTAGTAATAATGATCAGGACGAAGAACAGATCAATGATAAGGTAGATAAAGCTAATCTTCTTTTTATGAAAGGAGAAGACTTTAGCCTTTTGTTATGTAAATGATAAATTTTGAGTGGTTTTTAGCATTTTAGAATACTGATCCCTTTTGGTTGTTCATTCTCTATGCAAAGATGAAACGGCGATTGGCTCAGAACCGAGAGGCTGCTCGGAAAAGTCGTTTGAGAAAGAAGGTAAGAAGTGTCCTTTGGTGGATTGTTCTTGTGGTAATGTAAAAGAAGAAAGCTTATACAGAATTATGTCTGTGCCTTTAGGCCCATGTCCAGCAGTTAGAAGAAAGCCGGTTGAAGTTGTCACAGCTCGAGCAGGAACTTGTAAGAGCTAGGCAGCAGGTAAGCTCAAGCTTGTGGTTTTCTTTTGGGTTTTGTGTTCATCAAAAAATTTCTTATTTCATACTGACTCAGTCGTTTTATGTTTCAGGGATTATGCGTACGCAATTCATCAGATACTAGTTATCTAGGACCAGCTGGGAACATGAACTCAGGTTGGTGTTTATATCACTAAATAAGTATATTTTAGCATTGCTTAATCTCTTAATCCTCAGTATCTTAAACAAGTAATTTTCTCAACTCAGGGATTGCTGCATTTGAGATGGAATACACACATTGGCTAGAAGAACAAAACAGGAGAGTTAGTGAGATTCGAACAGCGCTCCAAGCTCACATAAGTGACATTGAGCTCAAAATGCTGGTAGAGATTTGCTTGAACCACTACGCAAATCTCTTCCGCATGAAAGCTGATGCTGCAAAGGCTGATGTGTTCTTCTTGCTGTCGGGAATGTGGCGAACTTCAACTGAACGATTCTTCCAGTGGATTGGAGGTTTCCGCCCATCCGAACTGTTAAATGTAAATCGATTTTCAACCTTTAAACGTTACAGTCCTGAGAACACATCTTGAAACCCTTAAATGTTCTTACCATTGTTTTCAGGTGGTGATGCCATACGTTGAGCCCTTAACCGATCAGCAACTCTTGGAAGTGCGAAACCTCCAACAGTCGTCTCAGCAAGCAGAGGAGGCTCTCTCTCAAGGCTTAGATAAACTCCAGCAGGGTTTGGTGGACAGCATCGCAATCGAAATAAGAGTTGTTGATTCCGTGAATTATAGGGCTCAAATGGCTTCAGCCATGGAGAATCTTCAAGCATTGGAGGGTTTTGTGAACCAGGTAATCGCGCCCATCTAGCTCAGTCTGTTTGATGTGTGCTTCTGCAGCCGTCATGATCTTCTTGAAACCAAATCTCTCATTTTCATATTACTTCTTGCGGAAACCAAGAAGTATCTGTTGTGTCTGCATAAAAGCATTGAAACTGTGTATTTAATGAGAGGAATCTCTGTGTGGAACAGGCGGATCATCTAAGGCAGCAGACTCTGCAGCAAATGAGTAAGATCTTGACGACAAGACAGGCTGCTCGAGGCTTACTCGCTTTAGGAGAGTATTTCCACAGGCTTCGTGCTCTTAGTTCTCTATGGGCAGCTCGTCCACGAGAACACACTTAACAAGTTAGGGAGGCCAAAAACAAAGAGAACAGAAGCACAAAGGAAGAGTGAAGCCTCGGATGATGTTAGATAGGTACTTGTTTATCTGTGAGAGAAAGTGTTTGAAGATGTAGGGTGATTCTTTCTCCATTAGAGCATCATCTTCCTCATTGATGGTTTTGGTTTTTGCTAAAACGAATTCTACCGAGCAATGAAAAAAAAAGATGTAAATTTGGGTGGAAACAAGTAAAAATGTACTATTTGATAAAATAAGGCTCTTTATTGTATCTGTAAAATCTATAAAGTTTTCAGTCTTTGGTAGATGAGAATTTCTGCACAACATTAGTCGATGGACTAGACTAGAATTCTTTTTGTTGTGGTTTGCATTTCACAAAGTGCTTTTGTCGTCGTCATTTTGCTTCTACTTGCTTCGCTAATGGAG